GTATTTATGTGTCAATGTAGAAAAATGATTGGGAAGCCCTCGGTTATGTAATGGAGCTTTGAATGATAACTGAACATTGTCAACCAAGTAGTTATAATTAAAGTCTTGAGAAAGCAAAAGCTTCCCAAGGAAAGGAGAGATGATGGAGACCAAGACCAAGGCTTAAGAAAATTACAGGAGACAAGAACAAGCGGTCAACCAAGGAAGAGAAGGAGCATGTGGGGACAGGACAATGTAGTGCACAGTGTCCTAAAGGAGAAGGGGATAACGTTTCAAATAAATGCCAAATGCAGCAAAGGATTTTAACAGAATTAAAATTATGCAAAAGTAATTGAGTTAAACAATAAATAGGCCAAAGCGGAATAATAGATATGGTAAAATAGAATTAGGAGTTTAAGAAGAGAGTAAACTGAAAGGAAATTGAATTTTTATTAAATATTTGCCACAATCATCAAGCAGGGATGAGCTCATCTGTGTGAAGAAAAAAAAAACAGTAAAAAGGAATATGAATGATCAGCCCAGAAGAAGAAAAGGTAATTGTAGAAGAGTCTCTTAAGAAAGGAGGAGAGCTGAAACCGGTTTGGCTCAGTGGATAGAGCGTCGACCTGCGGACTGAAGGGTCCCAGGTTCGATTCCGGTCAGGGGCATGTACCTGGGTTGCGGTCACATCCCCCATTGGGGGCGTGCAGGAGGCAGCTGATTGATGTTTCTCTCTCATCGATGTTTCTAGCTCTCTATCTCTCTCCCTTCCTCTCTATAAAAAAAAAATCAATGAAATATATTAAAAAAAAAAAAAAAAAAGGAGGAGAGATGACCTCAGGTTCAGGTCATTATTGGAAAGAGCACCACTTCCTTAGAAACTGAAGGAAGAGAGGAAAGAGTCAAGGACAGAAATTCTAAAGATTCTTACTCCTGGCCCTGAGAAATGGCCATCTTAAGGCCTCTCTAGAATATGCAGCAAAACAGTAATGTTCAGATCTACCTTCTGTGAGCATAAGCTTTAGATCAGTTGTCACCCTTACACCTACTTACTGTTACCTTTGCACACATGTATGAAATGGCTAAAGCGTGGTGCCATCTCTACAGTCAGGGCGGAGAGCAAAGCCATGGCTAAGATCTAAATCACACCTTTTATTTCAGACGCTTTACCAGCTGAGATTGGAGACAACGTTTCGGTTTCTTGGACCCATCAATTACAAATCAATCTGTTAACATTCATTAAATCTTTGCTCCTCTCTTTGAGTTACACATCAAAGTAAATGGTATATGGCTTACAAAATCTCTCATACGTACTTTCAAAATTGACATTATTGTTATCTCTCAAATCATCCTATCATAGGTCCAACATATCAAGAGGACTGCACACACACGTTAAATACTTCCAAACTGCCCACCCAACACTACAAGACGGGCTACACTAAAGAGTTACCGGGCTCGGCACACGCACTATAAGAAAAGCCTACTGCAGAATTTTCCAGAGAACACTAAGGGAGGCTGTGTTGAGTGTTCTCCAGCAATTAGTAGTTTACAAGCAATGTAGCTAATTAGCTCATCAGTCTTCACTGGAAGTGTTTTCACAAACATTCTGCCAGCTACAAGGTGCAACGCATGCATGTTAAAACGTGTTAAAGCAAGAGTTCATCATCCCCTTTCAAATGAATGAACTACATCTCCTGAGCCCACTGTACTTGGTTGAAAAGATTATTATATTTGTAACTTTATGCTTATCTAAGAATACTCTTGAGATGTAATAGCACTTAAATACACACACCATCAACACAGCAATGGATGGAAATAACAAGGGAACCATAGAAAGGCTGTAATTAGTGGTAAATAGCAAACATTTTATGCAAGTCCTAACTGCAATGTTGTGGAGCAGAGAAGACGGAGCCAACCTGTCACTTAGGGATGGCTAACTAAAAATGAACTGCTATTTTCCTTTATAAATAAATGTTCAATACCGCCGAGTTTCAATAGGTAAGATCTTTCGATTCAGGTGACCCAAAATGGGCACCAGTAAACTTTTTAAATCTCTATTCTCCTTTAGACACAATTTTCTTGTACCAAGTGAAAATGCACTGAATAATCAGAGAGGCAATAGGTAACATCTTAAAGGTTCAATATTAGAAATTCTATAATGGCACTTCTTGTTTAAGTAAGTACCCAAGTGTACTGATAGGAAGATTAATTACACTTCTAAGTTACCATTCTCCAGGAATAATCGTTTCTAGAGGTAATCGTTTTTCTCTGACTAATATGGATGACAGTGAGTCTAATTCCTTTGGGGGGAAAAAGGTCTATAAACCTAGGTAGGGTCTTGCAAATAATTAAGGTGAAAAACTATAGAAAGAGGAACAAATTTTAAAAATACCCTGAATACATGTATTATGCACATGAGGAATGTGTACATTTGCTTAATACAAACGTTTACTTCTCACCAGGGAAGGAGAGAGTCCCCTAGCTACTAGCGGCATCACCAGCCCTGCTAGAAATACTCCCGAGCCATGCAAAGTGGGGCGAGCTGTCAGTTGCTGCTGGGCTAAGCTGCACAGGCATGCAGTTGGGTGGCTCCTGCGCAAGCAGACTAGATAGCACAGCATTTCTTTCAGTACAAAATACAACAGCCCCATCTCTGGGAAGGAGAGCTGTAGGTAGAAGGCCACTGATACATTGAAAAACTCCTCCATCTTCCTAGCCCTCCAAGCGGTCATGGTAGCCTCGGTGGAGGCTCATAATTACAAATAGAGAAATATTACACTGTGGCAGGATTCCAACAAATTTGCAAGTCCTATCCCACTTGACACACATGAACATGAGGCCTACGGTATGTTTCCAATTGCTGGCTCTGGTGGGCAGAATTCTTAATCAAAATTCCAGCAGGCTTTTTTGTAAAAACTGAGATGATTCCAAAATTTCTAAGGAAATGCAAGGGGCCTCGAACAGACAAATCAAAATATTTTTTATTTCAATACTTACTATGAGGTACAGTAATCAAAACAATGTGCTACTGCTATAAGGAGAGACAGATGAATCAATGAAACAGAAAAAGAGTTCCAAAGTATACTCATGTGGGGGAGCACAAGAGACTTGGTTCGAAAGTTCTAAGACGACGATATTCTGAGAAAAGGGAAGTGTGTGGAAGGCTGCCTGCTCTGTTTATCGGAATTCTGATTAGGGGAGACTTGGGGAGTATTGAAGGCGGCGCCCTAATTATTCCTTGACCTTTCCAAACAAGTCTGTGCACATGCAGACCCCTGAGTGTTTACTGGAATCCTTATGCCTAATCCCTGGATACCCTTGCCTAGAGGACAGTGTAAACACATGTGTCCTCCCAAGAGTACTCCCCCTGCTGATTGTATCTAAAGATAAAAATTCCAATAAAAGCCTAATGAGGCCGGCAATCCAGGCCACCTGGCTCCTTCCGCCAGGCCGCCCCTTAGCCGTCTCTTTCACAGTGAAACTGTGTCAGGGTAATCCACTCATCCCTCGCTCGGGGGCTGCTGGTCATTCCCAGCCCACTAAGATACGGTCAATTGATTTTCAATAAAGATGCAAAAGTGAGTCAATTAAAAAAGTAGAGTTGGGTATGTTCTTTTCTCTCTTTTTTTTGAATTTTTATGAGTTTTTTTGAGCTAAAACAAGATCTCAAATGCTTCAGCAAATATCAGTTTTGCAGTTTACTTTTTTCCTAAAGAAACACATGTTAAGTAATGCTAGTTTAACCAATGGAGAAAAAACTTCTATCAAAATATATAATTTCCATCAAAAACTAGAAGGCTAATATTAAAAAATAGCTGTAGGCCAAAAAGTTTGCTTATATGAATGACAGGCAACATATGATCCCTTTGAAGCACAAAAGCATCGGATGAGATCTTTTGCTCAATTTGTGACCTTCTTTATTTGTGAGTTTTTGATAAGTTCATAGAGCTTGACACTCAGTCTTTAGATGAAGGTGTATCCATCGGAAAACATACATAATTACATATTGTTTTTGTGATTATCACTATGCTTTAATTATGTTTAATTTGTAACAATGAAAATCCATCCTGCATATCAGATATTTACATTACGATTCATAACAGTAGCAACATTACAGTTATGAAGTAGCAACGAAAATAATTTTATGGTTGGGGGTCACCACAACATGAGGAACTGTATTAAAGGGTCGCGGCATTAGGAAGGTTGAGAGCCACTGGTCTAGAGGAACTTCATCACATTGGAGATGGAAGGCTTTACTTTTAAC